ATTCTGTACGTGATTGAAATCTCATTTTAACAAGTACGCTGCTTTAGTACCTTACAATTTACAAGTGGATTGTTTTTCTTAATGACGAGCAGAAGGTCAATGCATTAGCATTACCATTATAACACTGAACTACTACATTAGCCTATTGTCACATCTCCCCTTTTAACATGCTTTTTGTTTTTCTAGGATGCCAGGACAATATTAGGGAGTTAGAGACCTCCAAAAAATAAAGTCTAATGTTGCATATAGCGTCATGATATGCGTATGCTGGAAAAATATTATCTGTATATGGGGCTTCTCGAGGTTTAGTATAGAGATCTGGGCTGCGGTATATTCAGTATGCTGATACCTAGTTCTAGGTTTCAATCACACAACTCCAGCTGGAACAGTGGAATAAATTAGCCAGTGCCTGTTTTAGAGGTAGCTGATTGGGACTCAGAGAAGACTAAGAAAATGTTGGTGTGCTAGGGAAAGATGCCTGAAGAGATGGTGGAAAGTTTTGTCGGCACTGATCACTGTGGCAGTGGGACTAATGCTTGTAAAACAGATATTCAGGCTGCCATGTCCTGAGTTGCTGTGGGACACTGAGGGCACCTATACATGAGCAGTGAGGCTGTTCCGATGTGCTGTTGTTAATCAAACCTGCTGGAGTGTGGTAATTACTGCGCTCTAGCATATATTATATTAGCATTCCTGCACTGAAAAATGGTGGTGGAGGTGCTTTAACTAAAGCTTGTTCAATGAGTGTTACTTAAAGCATGCCCCCCCCCTGCCATTTTTTCAGCGCGGGGCTGCTGATGCACAAGACACTCCTGGTGCTTTAATTAGGGTGGCTCTCAGAGCTGCTCTAATTAAAACCCCTCCCCCCCCCCCCCCCCCGCTCCTTGAGCAAGTGTATAACTGCCCTGACATAGCAGCTGTAGCAAAAAGTAATTCCCCATCAGAGCCTGACAAGTGAAAATGCCATCTTTTCAGGGTAACCTTGCCACAGTTTCCAATTCCGTTGCCCCTCTGAGACTTCTGTAATTAGCTCTACATGATTCAGAAGTTGAAGTTAGTGTAGAAAGCCACAGCCTGTTGCCTGTTAAGCAGAATCATGAATTGAGAAGACATTAGACTGGAGTTCTGTGGTCTATGCCAGCTTCCCTTCTAAGTGGGATTGAGCATGTTTGTAACCTCCAAAGCCCTCAGTGGTTTTGGACCCAACTGTCTGTGACTTTGCTCTTCTTCCTGTAATATTCTTACATTGTTGAGATTAAAGCAGACCCCTGAGTCAGAGCTCCCTCAAGAGGGGGCGAGGAAGTTAATAGCTCAGCCCTTCCACCCATGAGGATGGGAGCGAGGCACCCACGTATATACATATTCAAAAACACTGAGTTTGAAATAAATATGTCTGGGTACCCATTGACTTAATTCATCCAAGTTTGATGCATTTTTATGTTTTTTGAAACTGCTGCAAATTTTAGCACAGTTTCTCTATAAATGCACATTGAAGTACACTTTTGTAACTACTTGTAGAGATTACAAACTCTGCATTTTGTTTTGCAAATAGATCTCTAGATAGATATAGATATATCACGGGTTGTCAGCTGGGGGTACGCATACCCCTAGGGGCACTTGGAAAGGAGATGGGGCATATGTGGGGATGGGCAGGGGTGGAGCATGCCCCGGGGCATTCTTACATGTTGCCTCTTACTTGGGGGAAGGGTGTGCTGGGCGCCGCCGGCCCCGTATGGCATGCTGCAGTCCCTCCCCACCCCAGCTCGCTTTCCTGATGGGCTGCTTCTCTCAGCCAATAACTGACAGTGAGGAGGCACTGTGGCCACCCCCTGCCTGCAGAGCCATGAGGGCAGCAAGGCACAAAGGGTCTGAATGGCAGGGGAGAATGTGTTTTTGTGCCCACTCCCAGGAGCAGGGTGGGGGGCTTGCGTGCAGTGGCTGCTGCTGCCACCCACCCACCCCATGCCACCGCTTCCCAGGAGCAGGGCCAGGTGGGGCGAGGGCAGTGGTGCCCCTCTGTGGATGGAAGTGGGGTATGGGGGCTTGCATGCAGCAGCCGCCACTGCCACCCATCACGCTGTGCTGCTGCCTCCCAGGGGCTGGGCCTGGGTGGAGGGCAAGGGCAGGCCGCACAGGCATCGCCCGGCTAGCCGAATGTGGGGAGGGGTGGGAAGCTTGCGTGCAGCAGCCACCGCCACTGCCACCCACCACCCCATGCCACCAACATGCACCACTTTCCCACAGCCGGTTGTGCATGTGGCTCCATGGGCTGCTGATGGGTGGTGCGCAATTGTCATTTGTCAGCAAAGATAGGGAAGGTGCCAAAGAGCTTATAGTAGAATGGGTTAGGGATTACTCGGAGAAGCTAGATGCTTTCAAGATAGCAGGACCAGACGGGATGCATCCTAGGCTGGGTCCACACAAGCAGGGGCATGTCTTTGCAGTAGCACAAATAGTTGCGGCACAAATGTGTTGCTACTCTGTGCCTCAATGTATGTCCCTGCCCGTGTGCTTTACAGCGTGGCACATTGCCCTGGTGCTCCACATGCTGCAGGGGGTGGGCAGCTGGGGCACAGGGTGCCCATTCTAGATGAACACCAACTTAATGACTAAGAGGTGCCATAGATCAAGCACTGCAGGAACTAAACACAGATTTGGGAGGTGGAAGAGAGTGTTTAGTGTGATATTGTGTAGACTGACGCAATGAATTTAGTTAACACTTTTTTTATATGGTTGCTGTCAGACTTGGGTGAGCATACGGACTTTTTTAGAATAATGGATCCGCTGGTGGCTCACACATTTAGCATCTTCCGTAATCCAGTACCATAGGAGGAAGGTGGGGACAGAATCCAGCAGCTTAGGGCAATTCTATTCCTCCCCTTCTCCCTTCTGTGAACAACAGGATGGCCCCTCTCCCCTCACTCCTTGCAAAACCAGGCCTGGGGAGGGATAGAAGACCCTTGCCCATGGGAAGAAATGGGGTTGTAAATCATTTAGTTAAAGGAAAGCTTATGGGTACACGATGGGCCAAATGCACTTGGCCCAACATAACAACTTGCTGTTTGTGCAGTTAGGGTGAGCTCTGTCAGAGACGTGTGTGACAGTCGCTTCTGCCAATTTGGTCTTTATAGAGAAGGGTACAGAAATCTTAAGGAGCAAGAATGACCATAGCTGTTATTACTCAAGCACTAAATCTGTTGATGAAGTAGCGTTAGTGTTACTGGTTATCTCTTTTCCACTCTGCAACAAAGATGATCCAGAAAGCAGTAACTGTGCTTTTGGCTTGCAGGCATGGTAGTTATTCACCTCCTTCCCCCCTGCCACCCAAAAGCAACAAACTGCTTGCTAGATATGGTTTGTGTGTGTATTATCCATAAGAATTTACTAATTGCTTTATTAATTTGCTTTTAGATAACATGTTTGCAGTTTTATATACTAACTGCTAGGGAGAGTCAAGGAATACTTCAACTACTTAGGGGACATTTATCATTTTATCCCAGGTGAAACGGGCAGATCTCTCTGGTATGTGTGTGTTCCTGAAATCAGACTACAGATTATACCACATACAAAAGCAAACTGGGAGGGAGACTGATTTGCCAAAGTCCAGATCAGCATGAAAAACAGAACCATGGTTTCTTTTGTTGTCTGGAGTTGTACCTGAACTGGGTCTTGAGTTCGGCTCTGACCTACATGGGGGTGTGGGTGTGTGTGTGTGTGTGTGTGTATGCATGTAATATACTGTAAAAAATTGCCATTATACAGTAATTCAATAAAGGGGAGAATCTTTTTTTCTTTTCTCCCATTTTTTTCTCTTACACTGTCCTTTCGTGTTCTTGCGTCTCTCAAATTTCTGAAGTATGTGAAGTCTACATTTGTTTTTCTAACCTATATTGACTACATGAGCTGAATTTCTCCACTTCTTGATTACGCAGGTAGGATTTACCATTATGGGGGACTATACCTTAAGTTAGATGAGGCAGGAGTTAAGAAAATATATTTTGAGTCTGATTCTGAGAGGGTAGATACTGGAATTGAAAGGGAGTTTGTTTTGGAGTTGTCTATTTTTGACAGGGTATTGTGCTGCTGCTTTTAAGTGTGACCTTATTTTTATGGATTGCATTCACACAAAGTGAATGAGGTAACCTTAAAATATACATTAACGAAGTGTATGTATGTAGTATGTTAAATAAGATATCGGTACTTGCATCTTGCTTTAAAATCACTCTACAGGAAAAGTTATGTTAAAAACGCCTTTCTTAGAAAGCAATACCTCACTAGCCAAAGAAACTGAAAAAACTTCCTTCAGAGTTTATTGCTCTTCTTAGGGATGTAGGTTGTAGCCATGTTGGTCTAAGGACATAGGCAGACAAACTTCTTTGGGTAAATTGTTGTCTTTTATTAGACCAACTAAATAATTGGAAATTTTTTTCTTAGCAAGCTTTTGGGTTTAAAAACTTGATGAAGGGTTTTTAAATGCAAAAGCTAGCTAAGCAAAATTTTTCCAACTATTTAGTTGGTCTAATAAAAGATATTAGATTTACCCAAAGAACCTTGTCTTCCTTTTCTTATTCACTTATTCCCTTAAGGAGAGGAAGTTCTTTTATTTTGGCTTATGTTAATTCCTACCCAGATGGTAGCCTCTAGGTCCTTTAACTCTTTAACTTTGTATCTTACCTACAAGTTAGTTTCTAAAACAAGAAAATTCCTGAAATTCATAACAATGCTGAAGGTTTGTTCATTTTTTTTTACATATTATGCTCTCTTGGATCTAGTTCCTATTTTCTTTGCCTTGCTGAATTCAGGTGAAGTGATAAAGTCCTTTAATTTTGCTTCTCCAGTCAGTCAAACACCTTTAATTTTGACAAGTATTTCAGGTTCCATTTGATAGGTTTCCTGGATTATCCATGTGTAACTGTTGGAGTGAAATACATGGATACTTTGATCATGACCTCTTAACAATTTAACAAGTAATATGCTCTCTGTCTGTTTTGTTTTTATAGTCGGTCAAAAACTACACCAAATGTCACGTGAGAAATGAACAGATCTGTAACAAGCTGACAAGCTGTAAAAGTTGTTCTCTGAATCTGAACTGCCAGTGGGATCCGCGGCAGCAAGAATGCCAGGCCTTACCAGGTACAAGCTTTGACATTTGAACTCTGCTTTTTATTATTGGCTTTAGAACTGGGCTCAAAATGATCCACAGAGTTGAAGGCCGGCTCAAGCAGAACGGTCTATTGGGGTAGGGCAGGGCTATCCCACTTCTGAGTGGCTGGGGGTCACATGGCCTCTCCGGCTACACATTGTGCCATGTGGGCCCTT